CGGACGCAAATGAAGTTGCCACTCACCATCGAGAAGGGTCGAGAGTGAGAGGAGGAGACAGAGAGAGACAGGGACAGCTCTCATGGTGCCCGTCAGCGTTGTCTCCGTGTCTCCGTGTCTCTCTCCGTGTCTCTCCCGGTGTCTCCCTGTCTCTCCCGGTGTCTATCTGTGTCTCTCTCGGTGTCTCTGTGTCTCTCTGTCTCTCTCTGTGTCTCTGTCTCTCTACCAGTGTCTCCCTGTCTCTCTCGGTGTCTCTGCCTCTGTCTCTCCGCGTGTCTCTGTCTCTCTCAGTGTCTCTCCCAGTGTCTCTGTCTCTCTGTCAGTATCTCTGTCAGTGTCTCTGTCTCTCTCTGTGTCTCTCTGAGTGTTTCTATCAGTGTCTCTCTGTCAGTGTGTCTCTGTCAGTGTGTCTGTCTCTCTCTGTGTCTCTCTGAGTGTCTCTATCAGTGTGTCTCTGTCAGTGTCTCTGTCTCTCTCTGAGTGTCTCTATCAGTGTGTCTCTGTCAGTGTGTCTCTGTCAGTGTCACTGTCTCTCTCTGTGTCTCTATCAGTGTGTCTCTATCAGTGTGTCTCTATCAGTGTGTCTCTGTCAGTGTGTCTGTCCCACGGGGCTGTCACCCACCCTCACCTGCACGAGTGTGGGAGGGGGGGGTGGGGGAGATAAGGGAGGGGGGCGGGGCCAGGGGGCAAGGGAAGGGGGGGATGAGGGGAGGGGCCGGGCTCAAAGTGCTAAGTCCAGGCTCCAGCTCAGAGCGGGAGATGTGGCCGCGTGACGTCACCACTGGGTCCAGCTGACCACAGACTCTGAGACACGTGGGTTCGAGTCCTGCTCTGTGTGAGTCTCTCTCTCTACCCCCTCTCTACCCACAGGGGTTGATGGTGACACTGAGACACCTGGGTTCGAGCCCTGCTCTGTGTGAGTCTCTCCCCTCTCTCTCTAACCCCACGGGTTGATGATGGCCAGACCACAGACTCTGAGACACCTGGGTTCGAGTCCTGCTCTGTGTGAGTCTCTCTCTACCCCCACGGGTTGATGGTGGCCAGGCCACAGAGACCGAGACATCTGGGTTCGAGCCCTGCTCTGTGTGAGTCTCTCTCTCTCTCTCTACCCCCTCTCACACCCCCCTCTCACCCCACGGGTTGATGGTGAACAGGCCACAGACACTGAGACACCTGGGTTCGAGCCCTGCTCTGTGTGCGTCTCCCCCCCCTCTCTCTCTACCCCCAGGGGTTGTTGGTGACACTGAGACACCTGGGTTCGAGCCCTGCTCTGTGTGCGTCTCTCCACCCAGTGGTGTGCGCTGGGCGCAGTGTCGAGGTTTCTGGGTGCGCAGGCGGTGCAACTGCAACGAGGCCTCAAGGCAATCGCGTTGAGCCACTGACCCCAGTAGCCAGAGCCAGGGACCTCCACGTGGAGACCACACGAGGTGAGCCTCCACGTGGAGACCACACGTGGTGACCTCCACGTGGAGCCCACAGACAGAGAGGCTCAGCGTGGAGCCCACACCGGGACAGCCTCCACGTGGAGACCACACGAGGTGACCTCCACGTGGAGCCCACATGCAGAGAGTCTCCACGTGGAGCCCACACCGGGACAGCCTCCACGTGGAGACCACACGAGGTGACCCTCCACGTGGAGAGTGGGTGAGTGGTGGTGGGGAGACTCACAGGCTCGCATATACACCCACATACTCACAGAGACGCACAGACTCACAGAGACGCACAGACTCACAGAGACCCACAGACTCACAGAGACGCACAGACTCACAGAGACCCACAGACTCACAGAGACCCACAGACTCACAGAGACCCACAGACTCACAGAGACGCACAGACTCACAGAGACGTACAGACTCGCAGAGACCCACAGACTCACAGAGACGCACAGACTCACAGAGACGTACAGACTCACAGAGACCCACAGACTCACAGAGACCCACAGACTCACAGAGACGCACAGACTCGCAGAGACCCACAGACTCACAGAGACCCACAGACTCACAGAGACCCACAGACTCACAGAGACGCACAGACTCACAGAGACGTACAGACTCGCAGAGACCCACAGACTCACAGAGACGCACAGACTCACAGAGACGTACATACTCACAGAGACCCACAGACTCACAGAGACCCACAGACTCACAGAGACGCACAGACTCACAGAGACCCACAGACTCACAGAGACCCACAGACTCACAGAGACGCACAGACTCACAGAGACGTACAGACTCACAGAGACCCACAGACTCACAGAGACGCACAGACTCACAGAGACCCACAGACTCACAGAGACCCACAGACTCACAGAGACGCACAGACTCACAGAGACCCACAGACTCGCAGAGACCCACAGACTCACAGAGACCCACAGACTCACAGAGAACCACAGACTCACAGAGACCCACAGACTCACAGAGACCCACAGACTCACAGAGACCCACATACTCACAGAGACCCACAGACTCACAGAGACCCACAGACACACAGAGACCCACAGACTCACAGAGACCCACAAACTCACAGAGACGCACAGACTCATAGAGACCCACAGACTCACAGAGACCCACAGACTCACAGAGACCCACAGACTCACAGAGACCCACAGACTCACAGAGACGCACAGACTCACAGAGACCCACAGACTCACAGAGATCCACAGACTCACAGAGACCCACAGACTCACAGAGACCCACAGACTCACAGAGACGCACAGACTCACAGAGACCCACAGACTCACAGAGACCCACAGACTCACAGAGACGCACAGACTCATAGAGACCCACAGATTCACAGAGACCCACAGACTCACAGAGACGCACAGACTCACAGAGACCCACAGACTCACAGAGACGCACAGACTCATAGAGACCCACAGACTCAGAGACGTACAGACTCACAGAGACCCACAGACTCACAGAGACGCACAGACTCGCAGAGACCCACAGACTCACAGAGACCCACAGACTCACAGAGACGCACAGACTCACAGAGACCCACAGACTCACAGAGACCCACAGATTCACAGAGACCCACAGACTCACAGAGACCCACAGACTCACAGAGACGCACAGACTCACAGAGACGCACAGACTCACAGAGACCCACAGATTCACAGAGACCCACAGACTCACAGAGACGCACAGACTCACAGAGACGCACAGACTCACAGAGACCCACAGACTCACAGAGACCCACAGACTCACAGAGACCCACAGACTCACAGAGACGTACAGACTCGCAGAGACCCACAGACTCGCAGAGACCCACAGACTCACAGAGACCCAGAGACTCACACAGAGACCCACACAGAGACCCAGAGACTCACAGAGACCCAGAGACTCACACAGAGACCCACAGACTCACATAGACCCAGAGATTCACACAGAGACCCAGAGACTCACACAGAGACCCACAGACTCACATAGAGACCCATAGAGTCACAGAGACCCACAAACTCACATAGAGACCCACAGACTCACAGAGACCCACAGACTCACAGAGACGTACAGACTCGCAGAGACCCACAGACTCGCAGAGACCCACAGACTCACAGAGACCCAGAGACTCACACAGAGACCCACACAGAGACCCAGAGACTCACAGAGACCCAGAGACTCACACAGAGACCCACAGACTCACATAGACCCAGAGATTCACACAGAGACCCAGAGACTCACACAGAGACCCACAGACTCACATAGAGACCCATAGAGTCACAGAGACCCACAAACTCACATAGAGACCCACAGACTCACAGAGACCCACAGACTCACAGAGACGTACAGACTCGCAGAGACCCACAGACTCGCAGAGACCCACAGACTCACAGAGACCCAGAGACTCACACAGAGACCCACACAGAGACCCAGAGACTCACAGAGACCCAGAGACTCACACAGAGACCCACAGACTCACATAGACCCAGAGATTCACACAGAGACCCAGAGACTCACACAGAGACCCACAGACTCACATAGAGACCCATAGAGTCACAGAGACCCACAAACTCACATAGAGACCCACAGACTCACAGAGACCCACAGACTCACAGAAACGTACAGACTCGCAGAGACCCACAGACTCGCAGAGACCCACAGACTCACAGAGACCCAGAGACTCACACAGAGACCCACACAGAGACCCAGAGACTCACAGAGACCCAGAGACTCACACAGAGACCCACAGACTCACATAGAGACCCATAGAGTCACAGAGACCCACAGACTCACATCAAATAGAGACCCATAGAGTCACAGAGAGACCCACAGACTCACATAGAGACGCACAGACACTCACATAGAGACCCACAGACTCGCACAGAGAGCCATCGACTGACGTAGAAATCTTCCTGAAAGTTGAGTCTTGAGGCATTTCCCGGGCGAACCAGGGCAAGTGAATGAACGAGACGGCTAGGCAGCGTTAGGAAGAGAGTGTTTATTTTATTGTTACCGAGTAGTGCCTTGGGAAGTTGGCGAACAATGTCACAGGCAGCAAGTGGGACTCTGGGCAAACGCGATTTGCGACACATGCATAGAGAGAGACTACAACACCCCACACCATTAGACACGCCGATACACACAGAACCCCACGTGTCTCCCCCCCCACCACTCACCCCATCTCCCCGTGTCCCCCCCCCCCACTACTCACCCACATCTCCCTATGTCTCCCCCCCCCACCACTCACCCACATCTCCCCGTGTCTCCCCCCCTCACCACTCATCCACATCTCCCCCACGTCACACACACCACGTAATTGCCGGCTGGCAGTTGTTAGCAGACACACCCTGAGACACTCAGACTCACCAGCACTCACCACCACACTCATCACCACAACCCTCGCCAAACTCACCACCACACTCACCACCACCCCCCTCGCCAAACTCACCACCACCCCCCTCGCCAAACTCACCACCCCCCTCGCCAAACTCATCACCACACTCACCATCACACTGACCACCACCCCTCGCCAAACCACCACCACACTCACCACACCACCACCACCCTCGCCACTCACCACCACACTCATCACCACCCCCCTCGCCACTCACCACCACACTCACGACCACCACCCTCGCCAAACTCACCACCACCCCCCTCGCCACTCACCACCACACTCATCACCACCACCCTCGCCAAACTCACCACCACACTCACCACCACCCCCCTCGCCAAACTCACCACCACTACACTCACCACCACACTCACCACCACCCCCCTCGCCAAACTCACCACCACACTCACCACCACCCCCCTCGCCAAACTCACCACCACAATCACCACCACCCCCTTCGCCAAACTCACCACCACCACACTAACCACCACACTCACCACCACCCCCCTCGCCAAACTCACCACCACTCACCACCACCCCCCTCGCCAAACTCACCACCACCACACTCACCACCACACTCACTACCACCCCCCTCGCCAAACTCACCACCACACATGAAGTCAGCATGTGCACCACACTCCTCTAACATTCACCGCACTACAAAGAAACATCCCCCGTGTAGCCTTCACAGACTGTAGGGGCAAGTGCTGTTAGCGAGTAGCAGCAGCACCTATGAAGGCCGGCACGGCACACGAGTGGGTGGGTGGCCAGCACCACGCCCGGCCGCCTTTGTCTCCCTAGCGGCGATGTGTACGCACCGCATCAGGTACTCATTTGAGGCCGAGTCGACCTAGGGGAGGCCCAGGACCGGTTCAATAATCGTCGCAGTCGTTGGCCGGAGAGCGGGAATCGAACTCGTGACGCCGGGTTGGTAGCGCGAACCACTGCACCACCGCTCCCCACTTTCATGGCTTTATCTTGGTGATTTCGAAAAGTTTTTTTGGTTTGGCCATGTTTGTTTGTTGTAGTACAGAGTTAGACTGATGGCCTTAATCTAAGTTGTCTTGTGGTTGTTGTTGTTGTTGTTTGACTTGCATCCCACTGGGATTTTTGCACACAGCGTTGGTGTGTAACGGTGATTTTTCTGCAACATTTTGCTGTCTTTTCTTGGATTTTCTGTTTGCACTTAGTCACATAGTCACTTTAAGATGTTTTCTTGTTCATGTTTTTGTTTTTTTGTTTGTTGCGGTTGCACCCGATTCAAGAGCTTTGCCAAATCAATGAACTTGAGCTACACAACACACATTCGACACACACACAACACACATTTGACACACACACAACACACATTCGACACACACACACACACACAACACTCGACCAAGGGCACCATACTCTGAACACGGCATTACAAAATAAACCATCCGAGTTGTTTAGGCTGACGTCTGCAGGACCAAGAGAGTCAGGAGGTGAGGAGGAGAGTTGCAGCACAAACATTAGGGGAACTCAAGTTTCGTATGGACTTAAAACTTTCGTGAATTGCAGCGATTCATATTCTTGGTTCTTTCGGTAAAGTCACGTAGATAGAAAACAAAAAATACGAATAGTAAATAATAAAAAATAGAAATAATAAATCGAAAATAATAAAAGCAAAAAACAACGATAAAAAATAGTAAAATAATTTTTTTAAATAAATTGAAAATAATAAAAGCAAAAATCGAAAAAAATAGTTTTTTTTTTCATAAATCGAAAATAATAAAAACAAAAAGCACAATAAAAAATAGTAAAATATTTTTTTAAATTAATCGAACATAATAAAAGCAAAAAAACACAATAAAAAATAGTAAAATAAAATTTAAATAGATTGAAAATAATAAAAGCAAAAAACAACGATAAAAAAATAGTAAAATATATTTTTTAATTAATCGAAAATAATAAAAGCAAAAAAACACAATAAAAAATAGTAAAATAAAATTTAAATAGATTGAAAATAATAAAAGCAAAAAACAACGATAAAAAATAGTAAAATATATTTTTTTATAAATCGAAAATAATAAAAGCAAAAAACCACAATTAAAAATAATAAAATAAATGTGAAAATAAATTGAAAATAATAAAAGCAAAAACCACAATAAAAAAACTGTCAAATAAAATTTCAAACAAATCGAAAACCACAAAAGCAAAAAAACGACGTTTTCCACCCACGTGACTTCACCGAAAGACCCGCGACGCCAGCTTTGTCGCCAGGCAAATCCCGTCGCTGCTCGGCCCAGCCCAGGGGCACCCCCAGCGGCATCTCTCCCTGCGCGGCACAACGCTGCCAGGAAATCTTCAAGAACGCCGCGAGGAAAGGCACAAACGTGATCGGGAGACCTCCGTGGACAAAGATTCGGGGAGCGCGTCGACTTTTTGAAGCTATTAACGTCCAATTTGCCACAACGTTACAGTGAATTTATCCGTTCTTTTTCCACTAAAAACCATAGCCCCGTGTAAGTGTTCACACACATATATTTGGCTTTTCTGGCAGTCATATGGAGGGAGGCGATGGTAGCTGTTCGTGCGAACACAACGAAAGTGCGTGACGCAATGGGGCAATAAGTATAACCCGTAAAAACAAAGTTTTTCACTATAAATCCTTTATATGCGTGGCGGCTAGAGTCCTCTCGTCCTCTGGCTTGAGATGGCTGCCACCTATGGGTCAGATGATTGCCTGGCCACCATTAAGCAATTGGTAATTAAATATAAATTTTTTTGTCCTAAAAAGTGTAACATTTTGGAACAAAAAACTTTTCACGAACATTAATTGTCACGCACAACGAGTCTGTGTGCAGAATGTCAGCTCGATTGGATCACGGGAAGTGGGTTAAAAAACGACCGAAAGATTTACACGGTCGTAAGCGCGCAAGCAAGCAAGCAAGTGAACTTAATATAAAGGATTTGAAAAGCGCTTGACAAGATAGGGCGAGACACGCGGACACGCGTGTTACACACCAAAGACAAAGATCCCCCAGGTAGCCTCACACTTTTTGAGGGGCAAGGGCCGTTAGCGAGTAGCAGCGCCTACGAAGGCGGGCACGGCACACGAGGGGGTGGGTGGCCAGCACCACGCCCGGCCCCCTTTGTCTCCCTAGTGGCGATGTTTACTACACACCGCACGCATTTGAGGCCGAGTCGACCTAGGGGAGACCCAGGATCGGTTCAGATGCCTGCCACTGTAATTGGCTGTGAGCGGGAATCAAACTCGGGTTGCCGGGTTGAGAAGCGGAGTGCGCTAACCACGACGCCACCGCTACAAAGACACACACAGACACAACACACACACAGACACATACATACGTGTTCAGCCACACACACACACACACACGTGTTCAGCTACACACACACACACGTGTTCAGCTACACACACACACACGTGTTCAGCTACACACACACACGTGTTCAGCTACACACACACACGTGTTCAGCTACACACACACAACACACACACACACGTGTTCACACACATGCTATACAAGACACACACACACGTGTTCAGCCACACACGCACACATGCTATACAAGACACACCCTACACACACACACACATGTTCACACACGCAACACACACATGCTGTACAAGACACACACTACACACACACACACGTGTTCACACACGCAACACACACATGCTGTACAAGACACACACTACACACACAGACACAACACACATACGTGTTCAGCCACACACACACACACATGCTATACAAGACACACACTACACACACACAGACAACACACACACGTGTTCAGCCACACACACACACATGCTATACAAGACACTTACTACACACACACACGCTATTGTTTCATCAAATAGAGTTCACATTTTGGCTCAAGTTTTTTGTAAAAATGTAACGAATTTGGCAGTAACTCTGCTACATCAACACCATCACGACCATCACGACCATCACCGCCACCACCATCACGACCATCACCACCATCACCGCCACCACCATCACCGCCACCACCATCACCACCGCCACCACCATCACCACCGCCACCACCGCCACCACCATCACCGCCACCACCATCACCGCCACCACCATCACCGCCACCACCATCACCGCCACCACCATCACCGCCACCACCATCACGACCATCACCACCACCATCACCGCCACCACCATCACCGCCACCACCATCACCGCCACCACCATCACGACCATCACCACCATCACCGCCACCATCACCGCCACCACCATCACCGCCACCACCATCACGACCATCACCACCATCACCGCCACCATCATCACCGCCACGTGGTGCAAGCTAGGGAAGGTGAATGATGTATGATGGTGGTGATGGTATTGGTGATGGTAGTAATGATGATGGAGGTGGTAACAATGATGGTGCTGGTGGTAGTGATGGTGGTAGTTATGGTGGCAGTGATTATGGCGGTGATAGCGTTGGTGGCAGTGTTGGTGGTGGTAATGATGATGATGGTGGTGGTGCCGATGATGGTGGTGGGGGTGGTGACGATGATGGTGGTGGTGACAATGATGGTGGTGGTGACGATGATAGACTCCGTGCCAGGCTAGGTGCACGCACCCCCACCTCCCCTCCCCACCCCACTAGGCGCGCGTGCTCGACCCGTCCACACAATCGGATAACGACACCGACCACGCCAACGACTCCGCGCCAGGCTAGGTGCACCCCCCCCTCCCGCCCCCGCCGCGCTACGTGTGCGTCGTCAGCCTGTCCACCAGGTCGTCCAGCGTGCTGGCCAGGAGGCGCAGGTCGGCCGGCTCGCTGAAGCGGTGCCCGGCGCCCTTCCTCAGCGTCACGTCCACCTCGGCGGACGCCAGTCGCTCCGCCAGGCGCAGCGCCAGCTGCCACGGCGCCACCTCGTCCGCGAGGCCGTGCAGCAGCCGCACGGGGCAGCGCACGGGCAGCGGGGGCAGCGGGGGCAGCGGGGGCAGCAGTGGGTCGGCCGTCGACGAAGCGGTGACGGTGACGGTCGGGGCGACAAGGAGGCTGTGCCTGGCTGCCTCCAGCACGGCGGCGAGCGGGATTGTGATGTGGGTCTTGGACGAGGAGGGGCTGGGCGAGGGGCTGGGCGAGGGGCTGGGCGAGGGGCTGGGCGAGGGGCTGGGCGAGGAGGAGGAGGGTGGGGGGGAGTAGGGGATGCGAAATTCTCCGGTGCGTTGAGCCTCGGCACGCTCCTGTAGGGCGGGGGGGGAGGTGAGGGCAGGGGGTGAGGACAGGGGGTGAGGGAGTGAGATGGTGAGTGAGTGAGATGGTGAGCGAGTGGTGAGCTGGTGAGTGAGATGGTGAGTGAGCGAGATGGTGAGCGAGTGGTGAGTCGGTGAGTGAGCCGGTGAGCGAGTCGGTGAGCCGGTGAGCGAGTGGTGAGCTGGTGAGATGGTGAGATGGTGAGTGAGCCGGTGAGTGAGTTGGAGAGCGGGTGAGCGAGTGGTGAGTGAGATAGTGAGTGAGCCGGTGAGTGAGTGAGATGGTGAGTGAGATGGTGAGTGAGATGGTGAGTGAGATGGTGAGTGAGATGGTGAGTGAGATCGTGAGTGAGATGGTGAGTGAGATGGTGAGATGGTGAGTGAGCCGGTGAGTGAGTCGGTGAGCGGGTGAGTGAGTCGGCGAGCCCTCACCTCGTCAGTGAGCGAGTAGTGAGATGGTGAGTGAGATGGTGAGCGAGTCGGTGAGCGGGTGAGTGAGCGAGTCGGTAAGCGAGTAGTGAGATGGTGAGTGAGCGGGTGAGTGAGTGAGCCGGTGAGTGAGCGGGTGAGTGAGTGAGCGAGTGAGTGAGTCGGCGAGCCGTCACCTCGTCGGTGAGCGAGCTGTAGACTCGCAGGAGGAAGTCCGGGGCACTGGCCACACCGACCAGGCCGACCACGCGCTCCGGGCGTGCCACGGCCGCCAGCACCATGAGCCACGCGCCCAGACTGGAGCCCACGAGGATCTGAGACACCATCATCATCATCAGCACCATCATCATCATCAGCACTACCATCAGCATCATCATCAGCACCATCATCATCATCAGCACTACCATCAGCATCATCATCAGCACCATGAGCCACGCGCCCAGACTGGAGCCCACGAGGATCTGAGACACCATCATCATCATCAGCACCATCATCATCATCAGCACTATCATCAGCACCATCATCACCATCATCATTATCATCATCATCAGCATCATCATCAGCATCAGCAGCATCATGAGCCACGCGCCCAGACTGGAGCCCACTAGGATCTGAGACACCATCATCATCATCAGCACCATCATCATCATCAGCACTATCATCAGCACCATCATCACCATCATCATTATCATCATCATCAGCATCATTATCATCATCAGCATCATGAGCCACGCGCCCAGACTGGAGCCCACGAGGATCTGAGACACCATCATCAGCACCATCATCATCATCAGCACTATCATCAGCACCATCATCACCATCATCATTATCATCATCATCAGCATCATCATCAGCATCAGCAGCATCATGAGCCACGCGCCCAGACTGGAGCCCACTAGGATCTGAGACACCAGCATCATCATCAGCACCATCATCATCAGCATCATCAGTATCATCATCATCAGCATCATCATCAACACCATCATGAGCCACGCGCCCAGACTGGAGCCCACTAGGATCTGAGACACCAGGACCATCTTCATTATCATCAGCACTATAATCAGCACTATCTTTAGCACTATCATCAGCATCATAACCATCATCAGCATCATCATCATCATCTTCATCAGCACCATAATCATCATCAGCACCATCATCAGCAGCACCATCATCATCAGCACCATCATCTCCATCAGCACCATCATCATCGGCATCATCATCATCTTCATCAGCACCATCATCAGCAGCACCATCATCTCCATCAGCACCATCATCTCCATCATCAGCAGCACCATGAGCCACGCGCCCAGACTGGAGCCTGCCAGGATCTGAAACCCCAGTATCTTCAGCATCATCATCAGCACCATCATCATCAGCACCATCATCAAAACCATCATCAACAACCCCATCAGCAACATCGTGTTGGGTGAGTGTGTGGGCGAGTGCCTTGGTGAGCATCTGGGTGAGTGTCTGGCTGAGTGTGTGGGTTTGTTTGTGAGTTTTGTGGGTGAGCGAGTGGTGGGGTAAGTTTGTGGACAAGTGGGCGAGCGAGCGGATGGGTGAGCGAGCGGTCGGGTGAGTGAGCGGATGGGTGAGTGAGCGGATGGGTGAGCGACCGGCCGGGTGAGTGAGCGGATGGGTGAGCGACCGGCCGGGTGAGTGAGCGGATGGGTGAGCTAGCGGATGGGTGAGTGAGCGGATGGGTGAGTGAGCGGATGGGTGAGTGAGCGGATGGGTGAGTGAGCGGATGGGTGAGCGAGCGGATGGGTGAGCGACCGGCCGGATGAGCGAGTGGATGAGTGAGTGAGCGGATGGGTGAGTGAGCGGATGGGTGAGCGAGCGGATTGGTGAGCGAGCGGATGGGTGAGCGAGCGGATGGGTGAGCGGATGGGTGAGCGAGCGGATGGGTGAGGGAGCGGATGGGTGAGTGAGCGGATGGGTGAGCGAGCGGATGGGTGAGCGAGCGGATGGGTGAGCGAGCGGATGGGTGAGCGAGCGGATGGGTGAGCGAGCGGATGGGTGAGCGACCGGCCGGGTGAGTGAGCGGATGGGTGAGCGAGCGGATGGGTGAGCGAGCGGATGGGTGAGTGAGCAGATGGGTGAGCGAGCGAATGGGTGAGTGAGCGGATGGGTGAGCGAGCGGATGGGTGAGCGACCGGCCGGGTGAGCGAGCGGCCGGTGAGCGAGCGGATGGGTGAGTGAGCGGATGGGTGAGCGAGCGGCCGGATGAGCGAGCGGATGGGTGAGTGAGCGGATGGGTGAGCAAACGACCTGTGGGCCCGTGGTGAGCTGGTCGAGCACGGCGAGGACGTCGCTCTTCCACTGCCCCACCCCCCAGTGGGAGCTGTCACCCTCCGACGCTCCGCAACCCGTGTAGTCGAACCTGGTAACCACGGCGACAGCGTTACCACGGTGACCGTTCATCACCACGGCTACCCAGCGAGGACACGTGTGTCTCCCTCGCCCCCTCGTCAAAGCGTCTCCCCTTCCTCACCTCGCTCGTGTCTCACCCAGCGTCGATCAGAGGTCGCAATCGGGTACCCCCCGATACCCGTACCCTACCCAATACCCGTACCCTACCCGATACCCGTACCCTACCTGATACCCGTACCCTACCTGATACCCGTACCATACCCGATATCCGTACCCTACCCGATACCCGGCTACCCGTACCCGATACCCGTACCCTACCTGATACCCGGCTACCCGTACCCGGCCGGGTACGGGTACGGATACCCGTTTGCGACCCTGGTGCGGCCGGGTACGGGTAGGCCGTGAGTCACTGGTGAGTCACCGTTTGTCACTCATTTCCCAACGTTATGTCTCTTCTCACAATTCAAGTTCCTAGAATCAACCCACCCGCGCCTGCAACGTGGCTTCATCCCAGAGGTCGCAATCGGGTACCCGTTACCCGTACCCTACCCGTACCCGGCCGGGTACGGGTAGGGTACGGCCGGGTACGGGTATGGAATCAAAACCCGTTGGTGACCTCTGGCGTCGATGTCCTCACCCCGAGTCCCTCCCTCTCTCCTCACCCCGAAGCCTCCCCCTCACCCAGTCGACTTTCTCTCTCATCAATCCCAACGTCTCCCTCCTCACCTTGCAATCAACTCACCCCATGTCTCCCTCACCCATCTTCCTCCTCACCCTGCATCACCTCACCTCATGTCTCCCTCACCCATCTTCCTCCTCACCCTGCATCACCTCACCCCATGTCTCCCTCACCCATCTTCCTCCTCACCCTGCATCACCTCACCCCATGTCTCCCTCACCCATCTTCCTCCTCACCCTGCATCACCTCACCCCATGTCTCCCTCACCCCATGTCTCCCTCTTCGCCTTGCAATCAACTCACCCCATGTCTCCCTCACCCCCCAGCGTCTCCCTCACCCAGTGTCTCCCTCTCTGTCCCTCACCCCATGTCTCCCTCTTCGCCTTGCAATCAACTCACCCCATGTCTCCCTCACCCCCCAGCGTCTCCCTCACCCAGTGTCTCCCTCTCTGTCCCTCACCCCATGTCTCCCTCACCCCATGTCTCCCTCTTCGCCTTGCAATCAACTCACCCCATGTCTCCCTCACCCCCCAGCGTCTCCCTCACCCAGTGTCTCCCTCTCTGTCCCTCACCCCATGTCTCCCTCACCCCACGTCTCCCTCCATCACCTCACCCCATGTCTCCCTCACCCATCTTCCTCCTCACCCTCCATCACCTCACCCCATGTCTCCCTCACCACCCAGTGTCTCCCCCTGTCCCTCACCCCACGTCTCCCTCCATAACCTCACCCCATGTCTCCCTCACCCATCTTCCTCCTCACCCTCCATCACCTCACCCCATGTCTCCCTCACCACCCAGTGTCTCCCCCTGTCCCTCACCCCACGTCTCCCTCCATCACCTCACCCCATGTCTCCCTCACCCATCTTCCTCCTCACCCTCCATCACCTCACCCCATGTCTCCCTCACCACCCAGTGTCTCCCCCTGTCCCTCACCCCACGTCTCCCTCCATCACCTCACCCCATGTCTCCCTCACCCATCTTCCTCCTCACCCTCCATCACCTCACCCCATGTCTCCCTCACCACCCAGTGTCTCCCCCTGTCCCTCACCCCACGTCTCCCTCCATCACCTCACCCCATGTCTCCCTCACCCATCTTCCTCCTCACCCTCCATCACCTCACCCCATGTCTCCCTCACCACCCAGTGTCTCCCCCTGTCCCTCACCCCACGTCTCCCTCCATCACCTCACCCCATGTCTCCCTCACCCATCTTCCTCCTCACCCTCCATCACCTCACCCCATGTCTCCCTCACCACCCAGTGTCTCCCCCTGTCCCTCACCCCACGTCTCCCTCCATCACCTCACCCCATGTCTCCCTCACCCATCTTCCTCCTCACCCTCCATCACCTCACCCCATGTCTCCCTCACCACCCAGTGTCTCCCCCTGTCCCTCACCCCACGTCTCCCTCCATCACCTCACCCCATGTCTCCCTCACCCATCTTCCTCCTCACCCTCCATCACCTCACCCCATGTCTCCCTCACCACCCAGTGTCTCCCCCTGTCCCTCACCCCACGTCTCCCTCCATCACCTCACCCCATGTCTCCCTCACCCATCTTCCTCCTCACCCTCCATCACCTCACCCCATGTCTCCCTCACCACCCAGTGTCTCCCCCTGTCCCTCACCCCACGTCTCCCTCCATCACCTCACCCCATGTCTCCCTCACCCATCTTCCTCCTCACCCTCCATCACCTCACCCCATGTCTCCCTCACCACCCAGTGTCTCCCCCTGTCCCTCACCCCACGTCTCCCTCCATCACCTCACCCCATGTCTCCCTCACCCATCTTCCTCCTCACCCTCCATCACCTCACCCCATGTCTCCCTCACCACCCAGTGTCTCCCCCTGTCCCTCACCCCACGTCTCCCTCCATCACCTCACCCCATGTCTCCCTCACCCATCTTCCTCCTCACCCTCCATCACCTCACCCCATGTCTCCCTCACCACCCAGTGTCTCCCCCTGTCCCTCACCCCACGTCTCCCTCCATCACCTCACCCCATGTCTCCCTCACCCATCTTCCTCCTCACCCTCCATCACCTCACCCCATGTCTCCCTCACCACCCAGTGTCTCCCCCTGTCCCTCACCCCACGTCTCCCTCCATCACCTCACCCCATGTCTCCCTCACCCATCTTCCTCCTCACCCTCCATCACCTCACCCCATGTCTCCCTCACCACCCAGTGTCTCCCCCTGTCCCTCACCCCACGTCTCCCTCCATCACCTCACCCCATGTCTCCCTCACCCATCTTCCTCCTCACCCTCCATCACCTCACCCCATGTCTCCCTCACCACCCAGTGTCTCCCCCTGTCCCTCACCCCACGTCTCCCTCCATCACCTCACCCCATGTCTCCCTCACCCATCTTCCTCCTCACCCTCCATCACCTCACCCCATGTCTCCCTCACCACCCAGTGTCTCCCCCTGTCCCTCACCCCACGTCTCCCTCCATCACCTCACCCCATGTCTCCCTCACCCATCTTCCTCCTCACCCCGCATCCTCACACCCCATGTCTCCCTCACCCAGCGTCTCTCTCACCACTCAGCGTCTCCCTCTCTGTCCCTCACCCCATGTCTCCCTCAACCATCCCCCTCCTCACCCTGCATCACCTCACCCCATGTCTCCCTCACCCAGCGTCTCTCTCCCGCTCTCCCTTCCTCCTCACCCACCCACCCACCCACACGTCCCCCGTGTCCCCCGCGTCCCCCCCTCACCGGGTGTAGGCGTGCCCCACGGAGCGGCAGTAGCCGTGCAGGGCGGTGCCCTTGGCCCCGTCCATACTGGACCCGAACCCCGGCAGAAAGAGCACGCCGGGAGATTTGCCCGCGCTGAGCGAGTAGGCGAGGCGGGGCGCGTCAGCCCGCGACAGGTACGACACTGACGACTTCCAGCGTGACCCTGGTGGGGGGGGGGGGTGGTGGGGGGGTGGTGGGGGGTGGTGGAGGGGTGGTGGAGGGGTGGTGGGGTGGTGGGTGGTGGTGGGTGGTGGTGGGGTGGTGGTGGGGGTGGTGGGTGGTGGTGGGTGGTGGGGGGTGGTGGTGGGGGGTGGTGGGTGGGGTGGTGGTGGGTGGTGGTGGGTGGTGGTGGGTGGTGGTGGTGGTGGGGGGTGGTGGGTGGTGGATGGGTGGGGTGGTGGGGGGGTGGGGTGGTGGGGGTGTTGGGGGGTGGTGGGGTGGTTTTAGGGGTGGGTGGTGGGGGGTGGTGGTGGGTGGTGGTGGGGGGTGGTGGTCGGGGGTGGTGGTGGGGGGTGGTGGGGGGGGGTCAACGCGGCAAAGGGGTCAGGTCCCCTGAGTGAGTTGTGGATGAGCTGGAGATCGGGACTTGGGTTTAAAACCCTTTCCCGTTCCAATGATGTACTACGCCGACGACTTACGGAATGACCCGGGTGAGCGGGGTGGGGGTAGAGTGGGGAGCGGTGGTGCAGCGGTTAGCGCTACGCTGCGCTACGAACCTGGCGACCCGAGTTCGATTCCCGCTCATGGCCAAAATCAGTGACGATTATCGGAACCGGTCCTGGGTCTCCCCAAGGTCGACTCAGCCTCAAATGAGTAACCTGGTGTAGCGGTGTGTAAACATCGCCACTGGGGAGACAAAGGCGGCCGGGGGTGGAGGGGAAAGAGCGCCAACCCAGCTTAAATATACGCTGCCAAGCCTGGTGGTGTTTCATTCAGACGCTGTCTTCCCGACAGACGCTGTTCTTCACCTGAGGACGGCTGCTTGCGTTGTGGCCGAAACGTCGTGAGAATTATTTTATTATGTTTTATTTTTATTATTTTATTATTTCCATTCTACGTGACTTTACCGAACGAACCAAGAAGATGAATCCCTGCAGTCACGAAAGATTTAAATCGAAATTTGATAACACTGGTCAACACACTTTTTCTGGCACAAGGAATTCCAACGGTTTTAATTTTGGGGTGCTGATTCCAAATCTGGCATCAGTTTTTGTCTATCACATCAGGTTTTTGAGATATTTAAATATAGCATTTTCAATAAAAACTGCAGAAGAAAAATATCAAATAAATGTGGATATCTACATAAAATGATATTATAAACACACTATCCTAAAAACACAGCACCATAACACTAAAGCAGTCACTGACTCGCAACAACTTGCAATCATAAGTGACAGAGTTAATTTCGGGTAAAATCAATGAAAATGGGGTATGCCGATAGCATAAAAATGAGATGTGATAGAGCAAATCTGAGACCAGATTTAGAATCAGCACCCTGAAATTAGTCTAGAACAGCTGCAAAAGTCCAGGCCAGAAAAAAAGAAATGTTTTGTTGTAGACCAGTGTAATCGGCGACGTTTCAGGCAACGGCCCTTTTTCGTGTACACACCACTCACACAAACCACACACCACTCACACAAACCACACACCACTCACACACACCACTCACACACACACACCAATCACACACACACACCACTCACACACACACACCACTCACACACACACACCACTCACACACACACCCCACTCACACACACACACCACTCACACACACCACTCACACACACCACTCACTCACACATACCACACACACACACCACTCACACACCACTCACACACACACACCACTCACACACACACACCACTCACACGCACACACACCACTCACACACACACACCACTCACACACACCACTCACTCACACACAACACTCACCACTCACACACACACCATTCACACACACCACTCACACACACACCACTCACACACCACTCACACACACACCACTCACACACACACCACTCACACGCACCACTCACACACACACACCACTCACACACACACACCGCTCACACACACACACCGCTCACTCACACACACCACTCACACACACACACCACTCACACACACACCACTCACACACACACACACACACCGCTCACACACACACACCGCTCACTCACACACACCACTCACACACACACACCACTCACACACACCACTCACACACACACACCACACACCACTCACTCATAGCATAAAAATGAGATGTGATAGAGCAAATCTGAGACCAGATTTAGAATCAGCTCCCTGAAATTAGTCTAGAACAGCTGCAAAAGTCCAGGCCAGAAAAAAAGAAATGTTTTGTTGTAGACCAGTGTAATCGGCGACGTTTCAGGCAACGGCCCTTTTTCGTGTACACACCACTCACACAAACCACACACCACTCACACAAACCACACACCACTCACACACACACACCACTCACACACACCACTCACACACACACACCACTCACACACACACACACCACTCACACACACACACCACTCACACACACACACCACTCACACACACACACCACTCACACACACCACTCACTCACACATACCACACACACCACTCACACACCACTCACACATACACACCACTCACACACACACACCACTCACACGCACACACACCACTCACACACACACACACCACTCACACACACACACACACCACTCACACACACCACTCACTCACACACAACACTCACTCACACAACTCACATTCACTCACACACACCATTCACACACACCACTCACACACACACCACTCACACACCACTCACACACACACCACTCACACACACACCACTCACACACACCACTCACACACACACACCACTCACACACACACACCCCTCACACACACACACCGCTCACTCACACACACCACTCACACACACACACCACTCACACACACACCACTCACACACACACACACACCGCTCACACACACACACCGCTCACTCACACACACCACTCACACACACCACTCACACACACACACCACACACCACTCACTCACACCACTCACCATACACACACAAACCACTCACACACACACACCACTCACTCACACACACCGCTCACACACACACACCGCTCACTCACACACACCACTCACACACACCACTCACACACACACACCACACACCACTCACTCACACCACTCACCATACACGCACAAACCACTCACACACACACACACCACTCACACACACACACCACTCACACACACACCACTCACACACACACCACTCACACACCACTCACACACACCACATACACCACTCACACACACACACCACTCACTCACACCCCACTCACACACACACACCACTCACACACACCACTCACAAACCACTCACACACACACACACCACTCACACACACACACACTCACCACTCACACACACACCACTCACACACACACCACTCACACACCACTCACACACACACCACTCACACACCACACACACACCACTCACACACACACCACTCACACACCCACCACTCACACACCACTCACACAAACCACACCACACACACACCACTCACACAAACCACACCACACACACACACCACTCACACACACACCACTCACACACCACACACACACCACTCATACACACACACCACTCACACACACACCACTCACACACACACCACTCACACACACACCACTCACACACACACCACTCACACACACACCACTCACACACCACTCACACACACACACCACTCACACACACACACCCCACTCACACACCACTCACACACACACCACTCACACACCACACACACTCCACTCACACACACACCACTCACACACCCACCACTCACACAAACCACACCACACACACACACCACTCACACACACACCACTCACACAAACCACACCACACACACACCACTCACACACACCACTCACACACCACACACACACCACTCATACACACACACCACTCACACACACACCACTCACACACACACACCCACCACTCACACACCACTCACACAAACCACACCACACACACACCACTCACACAAACCACACCACACACACACCACACAACGGAGAAGGGGTCTGTTGTCCGAAACGTCGCCCACCGAGTACATTCCCATATAAGGTGGCGCACGCATCTCACAAAGTTATTTCGGGCGCGTTGAAGCGATTTAAGATTCACTAAACAAGCCTTAATAATAAAAACACACAACGAATAGGTACGAGAAGCGTGACACAATAACACAGAGTAACAACAATATTTAGCAACAACAACATTTAGCAGCAACAACATTGAGCAACAACAACAACATTTATCAGGAAGTTAGTTATTAGAGGGCAAGGCCGCGTTGAGGCCTAGGCGTCTAGGCTTCAGCGCAGACCCGCGCGCTTGCCGGGCTCCCCACCGCTGCCGACGATGATGTTGTTGACGATGATGTTGTTGACAATGTTGTTGTTGACAATGTTGTTGTTGTTGACAATGTTGTTGTTGTTGTTGACTGCTTCCTTACCTCCTCCGAGACTCCGCGCAGACGTCAGGAGCCTAGGCCTAGCCAACAACGCCGCCATGACCGCGGTCGCCATGACGACGAGCGGGGGAAACCTCGCGAGAGTTGGGGGCGCGGGGGGAAATCTCGCGAGAGTTGGGGGCGGGGGGAAATCTCGCGAGAGTTGGGGGAGGGGGGGAAATCTCGCGAGAGTTGGGGGCGCGGGGGGAAATCTCGCGAGAGTTGGGGGCGGGGGGAGAAATCTCGCGAGAGTTGGGGGCGGGGGGAAATCTCGCGAGAGTTGGGGGCGGGGGAAGAAATCTCGCGAGAGTTGGGGGCGGGGGGGGAAATCTCGCGAGAGTTGGGGGCGGGGGGAAATCTCGCGAGAGTTGGGGGCGGGGGGGGAAATCTCGCGAGATTTTGAGGCGGCCCAGTGCTTGGAGACGGTGGGCGGGGGGACCTCCAATAGAGGTCGACGTTTCGGGCAATGGCCCTTCTTTATAGCACACAGAGGGGGCGCCAGAGGCAAGGCATAAGGAGGAGATTGCACTTGTTCACACGGTGGAATATTACATTGCAAACTTATTTTCTGACCTTAATATTGTAATACTGGTAGGAACCTCCTGGTTACACCAGCGCACAGGGGATTATTGTGTCCGTCCGTCGTGCATCCAAAATTGGGGGGGGTGGGGCTGGGTGGAGAGGGGAGGGTGAGGAGGGGCTGGGTGGGGCCGGGAGGGTGGGGAGTGGGAGGGGCTGGGTGGGGAGGGGCTGGGTGGGGAGGGTGGGGAGGGGCTGGGTGGGGAGGGGCTGGGTGGGGTGGGGCTGGGTGGGGGGGTGGGGCTGGGTGGAGAGGGGCTGGGTGGGGGGTGGGAGGGGTGGGGCTGGGTGGGGAGGGGCTGGTCACCCCGTGGTGCCCTTATAAAACTCAACGTTTCACCTACTCACGCCGGCTTGTGCCCGCCCTCACAGTCGGGCATATTTGCGGAATACACCACGCCGCCGTTGACCCTGCAGGCCATTGACCGAGCAACCCGACGTTCCTACCAGCTCCCTCCGCAGGAATGTTTGCGAGCAAGCGAACCAGGTGGCGATCCAGCCGCCACGGGCAACATCCCAGAATCCAGATGCCCCTATGTGAGTGTCAGTGCAGAATCGCGATCTGCATTGCTCACGACATCTAAGATGTACGGCCAGGATCGAACCGTGCGGTGTTCACGCAACAACGCCGGGCTCGGCGCTAGAACGCCGGCTGCTGCTTCCGTTCGGGATGACTGCAGGGTTTTTGGTAGTACACATACCGTTATAACGCGGGACACGTACCGTTATAACGCGGGACACGTACCGTTATAACGCGGGACACGTACCATTATAACGCGGGACACGTACCGTTATAACGCGGGACACGCACCGTTATAACGCGGGACACGTACCGTTATAACGCGGGACACTCACCGTTATAACGCGGGACACTCACCGTTATAACGCGGGACACGCACCGTTATAACGCGGGACACGCACCGTTATAACGCGGGACACGCACCGTTATAACGCGGGACACGCACCGTTATAACGCGGGACACGCACCGTTATAACGCGGGACACGTACCGTTATAACGCGGGACACATACCGTTATAACGCGGTACACTCACCGTTATAACGCGGTACACTCACCGTTATAACGCGGGACACGTACCGTTATAACGCGGGACACGTACCGTTATAACGCGGGACACGTACCGTTATAACGGGGGACACGTACCGTTATAACGCGGTACACTCACCGTTATAACGCGGTACACTCACCGTTATAACGCGGGACACGTACCGTTATAACGCGGGACACATACCGTTATAACGCGGTACACTCACCGTTATAACGCGGTACACTCACCGTTATAACGCGGGACACGTACCGTTATAACGCGGGACACGTACCGTTATAACGCGGGACACGTACCGTTATAACGCGGGACACGTACCGTTATAACGCGGTACACTCACCGTTATAACGCGGTACACTCACCGTTATAACGCGGGACACGTACCGTTATAACGCGGTACACTCACCGTTATAACGCTCCCGCTATAACGCGGGACACTCAACGCGGACAGTTGAACTACTTGCCCGAGCCGTGTGGCACGATACGGTCCGTGGGATGATACCCCATTCATCTCAGCGTCAGAGGTCGCAACCGGGTACCCGATACCCGGCCGGGTAGCCGGGTACGGGTACTCGTTTGCGACCCTGGTGCGGCCGGGTACGGGTAGGCCGTGAGTCACTGGTGAGTCACCGTTTGTCACTCATTTCGGGTAGGGTACGGGTAGGGTACGGGTAGGGTACGGGTACCCGGCCGGGTACGGGTACCCGTTTGCGACCCTTGTGCGGCCGAGTACGGGTAAGGAATCAAAACCCGTTAGCGACCTGCTCAGCGTACCAGACCCCCCACCCCCCCTCGCTGTGCTCTGCCCCTCCCGCCCATCATCCGGCCCCCCACCACAACCGCAAAGAATGACAACAGAAACACTCTGCAACACAACAACCACGACGCTTGTGCCAGGCCATGTGCACCTTGAGGCTACCACGTGAAGTGTCGAACGCCCGCTGGCAGGAGGTCACGGGGCAGACCCAGCAGGTGCCACGGGTCGACTGACCGAGATGACCGAGATGAGTGGCTGATGCACCACCTGTGCCCCCTACTGTGCCAACTTGCTGTGCTTTAGACACCCGGCGCTCCGCTCGTGTGTGTGTTTGCAACACAAACAAACAGAGAGACACACACAGAGACACACAAACAGAGACACACACACACAGAGACACACACAGAGACACACACACAGAGACACACACACAGAGACACACAAACACACAGACACACACACAGAGACACACACACAGAGACACACAAACACACAGAGACACACACACACACAGAGACACACAAACACACAGAGAGACACACACAGAGACACACAACACACGTATAACGTTTTACTCTCCCGCGTCCTCGTGGGAAAATGACCGCGACATTTACCACAGCGACCAAAAACATGGGACAACGGCTAAATAACCAACGCGTCAAATTTCGATTTAAAGCTTCTTTCGTGACTGCAGGGATTCATCTTCTTGGTTCTTTCGGTAAAGTGACATAGAATGGAAATAATAAAATAATAAAGATAAAACATTATAAAATAATTCTCACGACGTTTCGGCCACAACGCAAGCAGCCGTCCTCAGGTGAAGAACAGGTCTGTCGGAAAGACAGCGTCATTCAGTCATTCAGACGCTGTCTTTTTGACAGACCTGCTCTCCGCCTGAGGACGGCTGCTTGTGTTGTGGCCGAAACGTCGTGAGAATTATTTTATTATGTTTTATCTTTATTATTTCCATTCTACGTGACTTTACCGAAAGAACCAAGAAGATGAAAACGCGTCCTTTGTGAAAACGCTGCCAACCGCAGTGGCGGCGGCGGTGACGGTGATGGGGCAGCAGCAGCAGTCGTGGCGGCGGCGGTGGTGGCGGTGGTGGTGGCGGCAGCCAACGCCACTGAGCTCAGAGGGTGCCGGTTGGACTCCCATCCATCTCGCGGTGCCGTAGCAGTTAGAACGATGCCGGGAGGGGGGGGGGGGACCAGGTTTCTTGGGTCCATCATCGCCACCGCCAACTCTACGGTGACCACCAAAACCACGACCGCTACCACCACCACCTCTGCCACTGCCACCGTTACCACCAAAACCGTCGCCACCATCTCTACCACCGCCATCACCACCGTCACCATTGCCACCGTTACCACCATCACTGTTACCACCTTTACCACCAGCTCTACTACCGCCACCGTTACCACCTATACCACACCTCTACCACCGCTCACCACCGTCACCACCATCTCTACCATCGTCATCGCTGCCACCGTTACCACCATCACTGTTGCCATCTTCACCACCACCTCTACCACCCGTCACCACCACCACCTCTACTACCGCCACCATTACCACCAATACCACACCTCTACCACCGCTCACCACCGTCACCACCACCACCGCCGCCACCTAGCAGCTGTGTAAAAGGGCTCACCGCGGCGAGGCCCAATCGGCAGGGTGAGTCGCGTGTGCGCGGTGGGGCAAAGCGTGGGTCACGCCCCAAGACGTACTCTAGTTAGCGGTAGAAGAGCGGGTCGGAGAGAGAGGCGCTCGCTCGCTCTCGAACAACTAGCAGAGGTCGCAAACGGGTTTTGATTCCTTACCCGTACCCGGCCGCACCAGGGTCGCAAACGGGTACCCGTACCCGGCCGTACCCGTACCCTACCCGTACCCTACCCGGCCGGGTACGGGTATCGGGTACCCGATTGCGACCTCTGGGATGAAGCCATGTTGCAGGCGCGGGTGGGTTGATTCTAGGAACTTGAATTGTGAGAAGAGACAAGACGTTGGGAAATGAGTGACAAACGGTGACTCACCAGTGACTCACGGTCTACCCGTACCCGGCCGCACCAGGGTTGGGTACGGGTAGCCGGGTATCGGGTAGGGTACGGGTATCGGGTACCCGGTTGCGACCTCTGACAACGAGGGAGGAAGGCTCTTCCCCCAGCAGGGGCGTCGGCAAGCCTTTGCAAGGGCTGTGCCTTTAGCCCGGCGTTTACCTTACGAAGCATCGTGGGAGCTACCGACTCCACCTCTCCCACAATGCCCTGCACCTCTCCCACAATGCCCTGCACAAGGGCAAGGCCCGGCCCCGCTACTGGCCATCCGTGGCGAAGAGCTTTAGAGATCGTCGGATTCCTCCTCGGGGTGGGATGTGCGCGGCAGTGCGACGCACGCGCGCGACTTTGTCACGCGATTAGGAAAAACAAGTGCACTTTGGGTGGGGAGAGGGGGTGGGGGAGTTGATGTACAGTTGGCGTTAGGGATGCAGCCACCCAGCGGTGGACAGGGACTGGCCGAGGGTGACGTGACACGATGGCGGATTGTCTCGAGCGCGGATTGGTGTGAGGTGCGTGTGTCTGTGTGTGTTTACGTGTGTACGTGTGTGTACGTGTCTGTGTGTACGTGTGTCTGTGTGTACGTGTGTTTACGTGTGTCTGTGTGTACGTGTGTCTGTGTTTACGTGTGTTTACGTGTGTCTGTGTGCACGTGTTTGTGTGTACCTGTGTGTCTGTGTGTACGTGTACGTGTGTGTACGTGTGTGTGTGTACGTGTGTGTGTACGTGTATACGTGTGTGTGTACGTGTGTGTGTGTGTACGTCCGGGCTAAGTGCTGCGCCCCCCCCCCATGTGTGGTGAACCCCCCCGCCCCCCCCATGTGTGGTGTGTCCTGCCCCCCCCTGCCCCCCCCCTGCCCCCCCCCCCCCTGCCCCCCTCTGCCCCCCCCCTGCCCCCCACTATTTGATCTTGTTGAGGGCAGCTGCGCGCCGGTCGGTGTTCTGGAAGAGCGCTCGCACGAGCGACTTCACCTCGCTCGGGGAGAACTCCTGCGCCAGCGGACCCTTGCCGTCAGCCCACCTGACGCACACACACACGCACGCACACGCACGCACACACACGCACACACATGCGCGCGCACACACGCACGCACACACGCACCCACACACGCACGCACACGCGCGCACGCACACACGCACGCACGCACGCAAAAGGTAAGGACAAAGATCCCCCAGTATAGCCTGTAACAGACTGTTGGGGCAAGTGCTGTTAGCGAGCACCTATGAAGGCCGGCACGGCACACGAGGGGGTGGGTGACCAGCACCACGCCCGGCCGCCTTTGTCTCTCCAGTGGCGATGTTTACTACACACCGCACCAGGTACTCATTTGAGGTTGAGTCGACCTAGGGGAGGCTCAGGCCCGGTTTAGATAATCGTCGCTGGTGGTGTTGGCCGTGAGCGAGAATCGAACTCGGGTCGCCGGGTTCGTAGCGCAGCGTAGCGCTAACCACTACACCACCGCTCCGCATGCACACACACACACACACCCCGTGTAGCCTCAACTGACTGTCGGGGCAAGTGCTGTTGGAGAGTAGCACCGACGAAACGGCGCACGAGCGGGTGGGTGGCCATCACCACACACACACGTAGACACGGAGACACACACGGAGACACACACGGAGACACACACGGAGACACACACGGAGACACGCACGTAGACACGGAGACACGCACGGAGACACGGAGACACGCACGTAGAGACGGAGACACGCACGGAGACACGCACGGAGACACGCACGTAGACACGCATGGAGACACGGAGACACGCACGGAGACACGGAGATACGCACGTAGACACAGAGACACGCACGGAGACACGGAGACACGCACGGAGACACGGAGACACGCACGGAGACACGCACATAGACACGCACGTAGACATGCACGTAGACACGGAGATACACACGTAGACACGGAGATACGCACGGAGACACGCACGTCGACACGGAGACACGCACGGAGACACATAGGCATGTAGACACGCGCGGAGACACAGTCGCAGACACGCGCCAAGACACACAGGGCACAGCAGAGTGAGGTAGCAGTGGTGGTGTTGGTGAAATAACTCTTCGGACGGATCGCCACATGAGTGAGAAATCGAGCGAATCAACTAACTCGGTAACTGAACGTTAGAGGGCGAGCGACAGACTTGCTCCGCAACCGACTGAGCGAGCGAGCGACTTACCCCCTAACCCTGACTTGAGCGAGTGAGCGAGTGAGTGACTGACCAACCTACTGTGTAACCGACTGAGCGATCGAGTGAGTGACCGAACGACTTACCCCACAACCGACTTACCGAGCGAGCGACAGACCGACTCGCTCCGTAACCGACTGACCATGTGAACGAGCGAATGACCAATCGACTTACCCCACAACCGACTTACCGAGCGAGCGACAGACCGACTCGCTCCGTAACCGACTGACCATGTGAACGAACGAATGACCGATTGACTTACCCCACAACCGACTGAGCGAGCGAGCGACAAACTTGCTCCGTAACTGACTGACCATGAGAGCGCGCGAGTGAGCGACTGACCGACTTACCCCTCAACCGATTGACCGACCGACTCACTCAGTAACCGACTGACCATGTAAACGAGCGAATGACCGATTGACTTACCCCACAACCGACTGACCGAGCGAGCGACAGACTCGCTCCATAACCGACTGAGCGAGCGAGCGACTTACCCCCTCACCGCCGACTTGAGCGAGCGAGCGACTGACCAACCTACTGTGTAACCGACTGAGTGATCGAGTGAGTGACCGAACGACTTACCCCACAACCGACTGAGCGAGCGAGCGACTTACCCCCTAACCGCCGACTTGAGCGAACGAGTGAGCGAGCGAGCGAGTGAGTGAGTGAGCGAGCGAACGAGCGACGGCGCCACCGCTCACCTATCGACGATGTCGCTGAGCGTGCCCTGCAGGAGGCCCCGGAGCTCCGCGAACCTCCCCCACGCGGCCACGTGCAGCGGCAGCCGCAGACGCAGCCCCCGCTCCTCCTCCTCCCGCGCCCTCTCCTCCTCGCCCCCCTCCTCCCCCCCTTCCTCCTCCTCCTCCTCCGACCACGGGCGGAAGGCCGCGGGGGCGGAGGTGGCGACCTCCGAGCACAACGCGTGAAGCCGGTCGGCGTCCAATGCCGAGATGTCCTGGGGGATCGTGGTGGAGGGGGGTGGGGGTGGTGAGGGGGGTGGGGGGGTGGTGAGGGGGGTGGTGAGGGGGGTGGTGAGGGAGGTGGTGAGGGGGGTGGTGAGGGGGGTGGTGAGGGGGGTGGTGAGGGGGGTGGGGGGTGGAGGGGGGGTGGGGTGAGGGGCATGGTGAGGGGGGTGGGAAGGGGGGTGGTGGGGGGGGGGGGTTCGTGGTGGAGGGGGGTGGTGAGGGGGGTGAGGGGGGGGTGGTGAGGGGGGTGAGGGGGGGGTGGTGAGGGGGGGGTGGTGAGGCACGTGGTGGTGAAGGGGGTGGTGAGGGGGGTGGTGAGGGGGGGGGTACGTGGTGGAGGGGGGTGGTGAGGGGGGTGGTGAGGGGGGTGGTGAGGGGGGTGGTGAGGGGGGTGGTGAGGGGGGGTGGTGAGGGGGGTGGTGAGGGGGGTGGTGAGGGGGGTGGTGAGGGGGGGGGTTCGTGGTGGAGGGGGGGTGGTGAGGGGGGTGGTGAGGGGGTGGTGAGGGGGGTGGTGGTGAGGGGGGTGAGGGGGGGGGTGGTGAGGGGGGTGGGGGGGTGGTGAGGGGGGTTCGTGGTGAGGGGGGTGGTGAGGGGGGTGGTGAGGGGGGTGGTGAGGGGGTGGTGAGGGGGGTGGTGAGGGGGGTGGTGAGGGGGGTTCGTGGTGGCGGGGGGTGGTGAGGGGGGTGGTGAGGGGGGTGGTGAGGGGGGTTCGTGGTGGAGGGGGTTGGGGGGTGGTGAGGGGGGTGGTGAGGGGGGTGGTGAGGGAGTGAGGCACGTGGTGGTGAGGGGGGTGGTGAGGGGGGTGGTGAGGGGGGTGGTGAGGGGAGTGGTGAGGGGGGTGGTGAGGGGCGTGGTGAGGGGGGTGGTGAGGGGAGTGGTGAGGGGGGTGGTGAGGGGCGTGGTGAGGGGGGTGGTGAGGGGGGTGGTGAGGGGAGTGGTGAGGGAGGGGGGTTCGTGGTGGTGAGGGGGGTGGTGATGGGGGTGGTGAGGGGGGGTGGTGAGGGGAGTGGTGAGGGAGGGGGGTTCGTGGTGGTGAGGGGGGTGGTGATGGGGGTGGTGAGGGGGGTGGTGAGGGGAGTGGTGAGGGAGGGGGGTTCGTGGTGGTGAGGGGGGTGGTGATGGGGGTGGTGAGGGGCGTGGTGAGGCACGTGGTGGTGAGCTAGAGATGCCGCTCAGCTCCGTTCAACCTCCCGCCCCGAACCCCGAGTTACCCCACAAACTGATCTTGAATGTATATTTACAAGAGAAGATACACTTAGTGTTTCTGTATTAATCCAACCAACTTGCAAAAAGCCTCGAGTGCCCACTGGCACCCCCTGAGAGAGAGAGACACCCAGACCCAGGGCTCCAACGCCCCGAGCTTCGCAGTTGTGTCGGCTCAACGTCTCCGACACGGCCACTATGAGCCCCCTCAGAGAGAGAGAAAGCGAGTGAGCGAGAGAGGGTAGAGAGGGAGAGAGAGAGTGAGAGAGTGAGCGAGAGAGTGAGCGAGACAGAGAGGGTAGAGAGAGAGGAGAGAGAGTGAGCGAGAGAGGGTAGAGAAAGTGAGCAAGAGAGTGAGCGAGAGAGTGAGCGAGAGAGTAGAGAGTGAGCGAGAGAGTGAGCGAGAGAGTGAGCGAGAGAGTGAGCGAGAGAGTGAGCGAGAGAGTGAGCGAGAGAGTGAGCGAGAGAGAGTGAGCGAGAGAGAGTGAGCGAGCGAGAGAGTGAGCGAGAGAGAGAGAGAGCGAGAGAGTGAGCGAGAGAGTGAGAGAGTGAGCGAGAGCGGTGAGCGAGAGAGTGAGCGAGAGAGTGAGCGAGAGAGTGAGCGAGAGAGTGAGCGAGAGAGAGGAGAGCGAGAGAGTGGAGCGAGAGAGAGAGTGAGCGAGAGAGAGTGAGAGCGAGAGAGTGAGCGAGAGAGGTGAGCGAGAGAGAGAGCGAGAGAGTGGAGCGAGAGAGAGAGTGAGCGAGAGAGAGTGAGAGCGAGAGAGTGAGAGCGAGAGAGTGAGCGAGAGAGAGTGAGAGAGCGAGCGAGAGAGCGAGCGAGAGAGTGAGCGAGAGAGAGTGAGCGAGCGAGAGAGTGAGCGAGAGAGAAAGTGAGCGAGAGAGGGTAGAGAGAGAGAGGGGGGGGGGGGCAGAGGGGGGTCGTTTACATAAAGCAAATAAAAAAACAACGAAACGATGAACGAAGCAAAGTGCCGACTACACCGAGCATCTTCCCGTTTCCTCTGATCGTAAAAAAACGAGAGAGACAGGAGAGGGAACAGAGGAGAGAGAAGAACGAGAGAGAGAGAACGAGAGAGGGAGATGGGGGGGGGGTGACCCCCAGGCGGCTCAGGAGGGAGACCCAGCTGGGCCCAGCGTCGCTCTCTCACCTCCAGGGCTGCCACGGCGGCGGTGATCTCCGTGAGTGCCGTGTTGAGCAGGGTGCCCAAGGCCTTGCAGTAGACGTTGACGGGCAGCACGCCCTGCCACACCACGCCCAGGCGGCTCAGCTGGTGCAACACCTGGCGGGCGGGGAGGGACGCGGGGTTAAGGCGCTGGCAGGCAGAGGTCGCAAACGGGTTTTGATTCCTTACGCGTACCCGTACCTGGCCGCACCAGGGTCGCAAACGGGTACCCGTACCCGGCCGTACCCGTACCCTACCCGTACCCTACCCGTACCCGTACCCTACCCGTACCCGGCCGGGTATCGGGTACCCGATTGCGACCTCTGGGATGAAGCCATGTTGCAGGCGCGGGTGGGTTGATTCTAAGGAACTTGAATTGTGAGAAGAGACAAGACGTTGGGAAATGAGTGACAAACGGTGACACACCAGTGACTCACGGTCTACCCGTACCCGGCCGCACCAGGGTCGCAAACGGGTACCCGTACCCGGCCGTACCCGTACCCTACCCGTACCTCGCTACGCGATTGCTGTAGTTGAGCGAGTGGGTGACTCAGTGGCTGAGTGGATGGGCGACGGAGTGGGTGATTCAGTGGCTGAGTGGATGAGCGACGGAGTGGGTGACTCAGTGGGTAAGTGGCCGAGTGGGTGGCCGACTCAGTGGGTGAGTGGATGGGCGACTTAGTGGGCGGGTGACTCAGTGGCCCAGTGGGTGGGTGACTCAATGGCTGAGTGGATGGGCGACCCAGTGGCCGAGTGGGTGGGTGACTCAGTAGGCTGAGTGGGTGGCCGACTCAGTGGGCGAGTGGATGGGCGACTCGGTGGGTGGGCGAGCGACGCGGCGTGCCTGCTTGACGCTCCGCTGCGCGATTGCTGTAGTTGAGCGAGTGGGTGACTCAGTGGCTGAGTGGATGAGTGACGGAGTGGGTGACCCAGTGGACGAGTGGATGGACGACTCAGTGGACGAGCGAGCGAGCGGCGTGCCTGCTTGACGCCCCGCTGCGCGATTGCTGTAGTTGAGCGAGTGGGTGACTCAGTGACTGAGTGGATGAGTGACGGAGTGGGTGACCCAGTGGGCGAGTGGATGGGCGACTCAGTGGACGAGCGAGCGAGCGACGTGCCTGCTTGACGCTCCGCTGCGCGATTGCTGTAGTTGAGCGAGTGGGTGACTCAGTGGCTGAGTAGATGAGTGGATGAGTGACGGAGTGGGTGACTCAGTGGGCGAGTGGATGGGCGACTTAGTGGACGAGCGAGCGAGCGGCGTGCCTGCTTGACGCTCCGCTGCGCGATTGCTGTAGTTGAGTGAGTGGGTGACTCAGTGGGTAAGTGGGCGAGTGGGTGGGTGACTCAGTGGACGAGTGGGCGAGCGAGCGAGCGACGTGCCTGTTTGACGCTCCTCTGCGCCGCCGCGTAGTTTCCGTCGTCCTCCAGGCTGCGGAATCCCCGAGCGACGCCCAGCGACTCGTGCAGCACGGCCTTCTGGGAGCGCAGCTGGCCCAGCAGCGCCTCCGCCCCTGGGGGGGGCGGCAGAGGTCACGGGGTCAGATAGACCAATGAGCAACGGTGCGAGGCAATGTTAACTTAAGCTCGGTCTCAACTCGAAGCTCTTGAGTGCTTATTCTTCGGTTTTTTCGGTAAAGTCACGTAAGTAAAAAATTTAAAATTAATAAAAGTAAAATAAAATAAAAATCACGACGGTTCCACCTGAAGCTTGTGTTGCCTCCGAAACGTCGTGATTTTTATTTTATTTTACTTTTATTAATTTTAATTTTTTACCTACACAGTGACTTTACCGAAAAAACCTAAGAATATGAATCCTTGCAGCCACGAAAGCTTCAAATCTAGAACTCTTGAGTCCTGGTCTCTTGACTCAAGATCTTGAGACTCCGATGCCGAGATCTGGTCCCGACCAAACCACCCCATTCACGGGCTAAAGGCTGCACGGGGGATCTTTGTCTTTGTCTCAGCGTACGCGTGCGCGCTGAACGATATCACCCGCCGGCCCTTCATAGGTGCTGCCCCCGCTAACAGCACTTGCCCCTCCGGCCTGTTCAGGCTATGCGGGGGACCTTTGTCTCTGTGGGAGACAGAGGCGGACGTGTGTGGTTACCGGCTACGCTACAAGTTTCATGTATTAGGTAGAGCCCTGTGAGCCATTCGGCTCTTGAATCGGGTGCAACAGCAACAAACAAAAAAACAAAAACTTGAACAAGAAAACATCTTAAAGTGAATATGTGACTGAGTGCAAACAGAAAATCCAAGAAAAGACAGCAAAATATTGCAGGAAAATCACCGTTACACACCAAGGCTGTGTGCAAAAATCCCAGTGGGATGCAAGTCAAACAACAACAACAACCACAAGACAACTTACATTAAAGCCATTCGTCTAACTCTGTACTACAACAAACAAACATTGCCAAACCGAAAAACTTTTCATAAATCACCAAAATAAAGCCATAAAAGTCAAACAACAACAACAACCACAAGATAACTTAGATTAAGGCCATCAGTCTAAGTCTGTACTACAACAAACAAACATGGCCAAACCGAAAAACTTTTCAAAAATCACCAAAATAAAGCCATAAAAGTCAAACAACAACAACAACAACAACCACAAGACAACTTAGATCAAGGCCATCAGTCTAACTCTGTGTTGCGTGGTTTGTTCTTGACACCACTGGAGACTTAAATTTCGATTTAAAGCTTTCGTGACTGCAGGGATTCATCTTCTTGGTTCTTTCGGTAAAGTCACGTAGAAGGGAAGTAATAAAATAATAAAAATAAAACATAATAAAATAATTCTCACGACGTTTCGGCTACAACGCAAGCAGCCGTCTTCAGGTGAAGAATGTTTTATTTTTATTATTTTATTACTTCCCTTCTACGTGACTTTACCGAAAGAACCAAGAAAATGAACACTGGAGTACATTCCGAGTACAGCAACACTCACTGCCTACACCCCTCACCCGACGCCTGCCCCCGTTATGGTGCGCGTCACAACCAATTCGTACGCGCCGCTCGCTACCGGCACTTGCCCCGATCGTCCGTCGAGGCTATACCGGTGTGTGCGGACACCACCTTTGTCTTTGGGTCTCACCGAGTTTGCGGAAGGCGGGCACGAGGTCGACGAAGGTGGTGGTGCCCTCGGAGAGCGAGAAGGGCAGCCGCGCGTGGTACTGGTGGCCCAGCGTGAGCAGGTAGTGCGCCAGCAGCATGCAGTTGTTGTGGTGGATGGCGGCCACCTGCGGGAAGTTCTGCAGAGACTCCCTGGGGCGAGCACGCGCACACGCGGACACACGCACGCACACGCGGACACACGCGGACACATGCAGACACACACGGACACATGCAGACACGCGCGCAGACACACACGCAGACACACACACGCATACACACTCGGACACACACACGCAGACACACACGCAGACACACACACGCGGACACACACACGCAGACACACACACACGCAGACACACTCACACGGACACACACACACGGACACACACACGCAGACACACACACACGCAGACACACACACACGCAGACACACTCACATGGACACACACACACGCAGACACACACACACGCGGACACACACACACACTCACATGGACACACACACACGCGGACACACACACACACGCAGACACACACACACGCGAACACACACACACGCGGACACACACGCACGCACGCGGACACGCACACACACAAAGAATCCACCGTATAGGCTTAACAGACTGTAGGGGTAAGTGCTGTTGAGTGGAGTAGCACCTATGAACGCCGGCACGGCACACGAGGGGGTGGGTGGCCAGCACCACACCCAGCCGCCTTTGTCTCCCCCCAGTGGCGATGTTTAAACACCGCACCAGGTACTCACTTGAGGCTGAGTCGACCTAGGGGAGGCTCAAGACCGGTTCAAAAATTATCATCACTGGGTGTTGGCCTTGAGCGGGAATCGAACTCGGGTCGCCGGGTTCGTAGCGCGGCGTAGCGCTAACCGCTACACCCACCACTCCCGTACACAAACACAAGCTCACACATACACACACGTGCGGAGACATGCGTGCGTAGAGACGCACGGACACGCACGTAACACACGAACATGTCCCGCCCCCCCAGGGCAGCTGGGGCTATTATAATAATAATAATAGTTCAATTTGTAACGCGCGCAAATTTGAAGACGTAGTGGCCGCAACTCAGAGGCGCGGAGCCAAGCTCAGAGTCGCTCGAAAGCGCGTGGTTGTAGAGGTGAGTTTTTAAGTGTCTCTTGAAGGAGGCGATGGAGGTGATGCTGCGAATGTGCAGAGGGGTGACGGCGCTCCAGACTGTTGGGGCTGCCACCGAGAAGCGGCGCGTAGACACGGTGACCATCCTGGATCTTGGTACAGTGATCCCTCGTTGATCGCGGTTAATGGGGACCGGAACCCCTCGCGATAGGTGAAAATACGCGAAGTAGGATTGGCCCCCCTAGGAATTTCCGTATATGTGTGTGTGGGTACCAGAATGTTTAAAATATGTATATTTATACTTTATATATATATATTTTACTTAAATCTATTTAACTATAAAACCTTAATACTATACATTCACTCTCTCTCTCTTTCATACGATACGTATTGTGGTGTTCTACACTCACCAATGACAGTAGTATCTTGAGACTTGACTCCAGTAATGACGACGATGACAATGACGATGACAATGACGATGACAATGACGGTGACAATGACGATGACAATGACGACGATGACAATGACGACGACAATGACGACGATGACAATGACGATGACAATGACGATGACAATGACGATGACAATGACGATGACAATGACGACGATGACAGACCTGTGCAGTTCGATGAATGTGATGAATGATGATGATGATGGTGTTACTGCACAGGTATAATGAGGCCTTTAAATCAGTTCGAAAAATCCGCGATGCACTGAGGCCGCGAAACTTGAACCGCAAAGTGGCGAGGGATTACTGTATTAAGAGGAGGTCGTGAGTCGCGCTGCGCAGGCATCTGCCGTGCGCTGAGCTGCAAGTCGTCAGTAATGAAGAAAGGTACGGTGGGCAGGCGAATATGAAGGCCTTGTGGCAGAGGCAGGCGGTCTTGTGTGTGACCCTACTGGCGATGGGTAGCCAGTTAGCGAGCGCCTATTAAGGCCGGCGGCGGGGTAGTCTCTCACCGGTGGTAAGTTGGCACGACGTCGCAGAAGAGGTGGAAGATGTTTCGGACAGCGTAGAATAGTTGAGCGGCGCTGTGGACAGAAATCACGAGCGTGAGCGTGTGAGCGTGTGTGAGCGTGTGTGTGTGCGTTTTATATTTTCTTCGTAGTTGAGTGGTCATTTACTTCAAGGTCGAGGGGGTTACCAGCCCCTCGCACCCGGTCCAGAGCCCCCATTTTGCCGCTGTGGTGGTTACAAACGCCATTTCCCCCACGGCACTGCTCACTACAACGGGGTTGTTTTGCGTGTGTGCTTGTCATCTCAGTCAGGCAAACCCATGGCACCTGGGTCTGTACCCGTGACCTCTTTCCACTGGAGCTAACTATGCACTTTTACTGGGAGGAACCACCTGGGTACGGGTGGCCGGGTATCGGGTACCCAGTTGCGACCTCTGGGATGAAGCCATGTTGCAGGCGCGGGTGGGTTGATTCTAGGAACTTGAATTGTGAGAAGAGACAAGACGTTGGGAAATGAGTGACAAACGGTGACTCACCAGTGACTCACGGCCTACCCGTACCCGGCCACACCAAGGTAGCCGGGTATCGGGTAGGGTACGGGTATCGGGTAGGGTACGGGTATCGGGTAGGGTACGGGTATCAGGTAGGGTACGGGTATCAGGTAGGGTACGGGTATCGGGTAGGGTACGGGTATCGGGTAGGGTACGGGTATCGGGTAGGGTACGGGTATCGGGTAGGGTACGGGTATCGGGTAGGGTACGGGTATCGGGTAGGGTACGGGTATCGGGTAGGGTACGGGTATCAGGTAGGGTACGGGCATCGGGTAGGGTACGGGTATCAGGTAGGGTACGGGTATCGGGTAGGGTACGGGTATCGGGTAGGGTACGGGTATCAGGTAGGGTACGGGCATCAGGTAGGGTATGGGCATCAGGTAGGGTACGGGTATCGGGTAGGGTACGGGTATCGGGTAGGGTACGGGTATCGGGTAGGGTACGGGTATCAGGTAGGGTACGGGTATCAGGTAGGGTACGGGTATCGGGGGGTACCCGATTGTGACCTCTGCTTCACAGCGAGACCTCCCCCCCCCTCCCCCCCGCTCACCAGGGCCCCTGGCTGCTGCAGGCTTCGGTGAGGATGCCGTGAGCGAGCAGGACGAGGTCTCGCGCCGATCGGCTGATGCGGCAACGCGGCATGCGCAGGGTCGCCGGGGACAGCCCCGGGCCGCCCGCCCCCTCTGCCGGGACACCGCGCCTCACCGCCACCGCCCCCTCTGCCGAGACACCGCGCCTCACCGCCACCGCCCCCTCTGCCGGGACACCGCGCCTCACCGCCGCCGCCACCGCCGCCGGGACACCGCCCCCCACCGTCGCCACGGCTTCGGCCGAGGGGCCGGCGAAGACGACGTCCAGAACGTCCGAGACCTGCCCGAGTAGGGAGGGTCGCCGGTTACATTCGGAGTGCGAGCGGCGGGGCGTCCGTGTCTCTGTCTCCGTGCGTGCGTCCCCCGTGCGCGTCTCTCCTCCCGTCCCTCCCCCCGTCCCTCCTCCCGTCCCTCCTCCCGTCCCTCCTCCCGTCCCTCCTCCCGTCCCTCCCCCCGTCCCTCCTCCCGTCTCTCCTCCCGTCTCTCCTCCCGTCTCTCCTCCCGTCTCTCCTCCCGTCTCTCCTTCTGTCTCTCTGTCTCTCTGTCTCTCCCCCCGTCTCTCCCCCCGTCTCTCCTCCCGTCTCTCCTCCTGTCTCTCTGTCCCTCTGCAAGTCTGGCTCGTCTCCTGTGTCTACACGTTCATCCACCGGTCCCCCTCTGTCTGTCCGCGAGTAAACCCCTCCCCGTCTCTTTCTCCGTACGCTCATCCCCGTGCGTGTCCACCTGTCTGTCCATCTGCGTGCGCGCGTGAGTGTCTCCCACCATCAGTCTCTCAATGCCTCTCTCTGTCCTTGCCTGCAAGTAAGTCTGTCTGTCTGTCTGTCCATTTCAAGGTGCCCCCCCGTCCATCAGCTGTCAGCGTCTCTCGCCATCTGTGCACACGCGCGCGTGTGTCTGTGTCCGAGCGCGTGTCACCTTGACTGTCTTGCCGTGGAGAGATGATGAGCGAGCGCGCGCGCGTCTGCGTGTCTTTGTCCGTGTGTGTATCCACGTGTGTCCTTGCAAATGTGTCCGTGCATGTATCCGTGTGTGTGTCCGTGTCTGTGCGTGTGTCCGTGTGTGGCCTCAAGGTGCACATGGCCTGGCACAAGCGTCGTGGTGACGTCACCGCCACTTAGTGGCGAATGGCGGTTGTTGTTGTTGTGTGTGTGTGTGTCCGTGTGTCTGCCTGCAGCGAAGCGAACATGTGTGAGCGAGCGCGTGCCTCTACGTGTCTGTGTATGTCTGTGTCTGGGTATGTCTGTGTTTGTGTGTGTCTGTGTCTGTGTGTGTGTCTGTGTGTGTGTATGTGTCCGTGTGTCTGTGTGCACGTCACCTTGACGGTGTCGTGCAGCGGAGCGGTCATGAGCGAGCGAGCGCGTGTCTACGCGTCTGTGTGTATGTCCGTGTGTGTGTCCGTGTGTCCGTGCGCGCGTCACCTTGACGGTGTCGTGCAGCGGGGCGGTCATGAGCGAGCGAGCGCGCGTCACTCGTTTGTCAGTGTGTCTGTCCGTGCGTGTGTGTCTGTGTGTGTCCCCGTGTCCGTGTGTGTGTCCGTGTGTCTGTGTGCGCGTCACCTTGACGGTGTCGTGCAGCGGGGCGGTCATGAGCGAGCGAGCGCGCGTCACTCCGTCACGGCACTTCTTGCCGGAGAAGTGGGCGTTGACGTCGCGGGCGTACGACAGCAGCGCCGTCGACTCGTTCGACAGCAGCCCCAGGGACAGCAGCGAGCGCTCAAACGAGCCGGTGGCGTCGATGACCTGCGGGGCCACAGAGACAGCGACTCTTCGTTGTGCGGGCGCACACGTACGACGCGCTCCTCCGTGCGCGCGTGACGCACACTCGCATGTGCGTGCGTGGGAGTGTGCTTGTGTGTGTTTGACGCCACCTGCTTGAGTGTGCGTGTGACACACCAATGCGTGTGTGCGTCACCTGCGTGTGTGTCACTCGCACACCAGCGTGTGTGTGCGTCGCACACCTGCGTGCGTGTGTGCGTGACACACCAGCGAGTGTGTGACTCGCACACCTGCGTGTGTGTGCGCGTCACACACCAGCGTGTGTGCGCGTCACACACCAGCGTGTGTGCGTGTGACACACCAGCACGTGTGTGACGCACACACCTAAGTGTGTGCGTCGTACACACACATGCGTGTGTGCGTCGTACACACACCAGCGCGTGTGTGCGTCACACACCAGCGAGTGTGTGCATCACACGCCTGCGTGTGTGCGTCACACGCCTGCGTGTGTGTGTCACACACGTGCGTGTGCGCGTGTGCGGTGGTGTAGCGGTGAGCGCTACGCCGCGCTACGAACCGAGCGACCCGAGTTCGATTCCCGCTCACGGCCAATCGACACCGGTGACGATTACCTGAACCGGTCATGGGCCTCCCGTAGGCCGACTCAGCCTCAAACGAGTTTCCCCGGTGCGGTGTGTAGTAAACATCGCCACCGTGATCCTGACCACCCACCCCCTCGTGTGCCGTGCCGGCCTTCACAGGTGCCGCTGCTACTCGCTAGCAGCACTTGCCCCGGACAGTCTGTTTTGTTTGCGTGCGACGCCACAAACCTCTGTGTAGGCCTGCAGCCCGGCGCTGTCCGAAGGAACGCTGGCGAGGAGGCAGTGCTGGATGAGCGTCTCACACAGAGGCTCCCACAGCAGGGAGCCCATTACGGACGCCACGCCCCCATCGCCACCATCGCCACTGTCGCTGTCGCCGCCACCATCGTCACCGCCATCGTCATCATCGTCGTCATCCCTATCACCGTCCCCATTGCTCACGAGGACGGGCTCGTTCGGGGGAACGGCTGCGAAGGGGAGACGGGGCACGGGGGCGGAGGTTCAGCGATCGATGGTGATGAGGGTGGTGATGATGATGATAACGATGGTTGATACCGATGACGATGCTGAATAAGATTACGGCGATTAAATCAGCGATGATTGTTATGGCTGATGCTGCTGCTGTTCATCATGATGATGATGATACTAAAGCTTATAACGATTAAATCGATCATTATGGTTGATGCTGCTGCTGCTGATGATGTTGTTCATCAAAATATTGATGATGATGCTGAAGTTTATGAAGATGATGATTATTCTTATGATAATGATTGCTGCTGATGGTGACGCTCATGACGATGCCGCTGATGACGATGAAGATGCTCTGCTGCTTCAGCTGATGTACGCTGAGTGAGGAGAGATGGAGAGAGACGCTGGGTGAGGGAGACATGGAGTGAGGAGACGCCGGGTGAGGAGGGAAATGCGTGGGTTGATGAGAGACGGAGAGACTGGGTGAGCGAGGCATGGGGGTGAGGAGGGAGACGCGGGGGTGAGGGATACGGAGGGAGGGAGAGAGACACGGGGGTGAGGAGACGCCGGGTGAGGAGGGAGACACGGGGGGGAGGAGACGCCGGGTGAGGACATGGGGGTGAGGAGAGGGGGAGGGACTCGGTGAGGGGTGAGAGACGTGGCGAGAGAGAGAAAGAGACACAGCGCGGATGATGACGACGATGACGACGACGGCGATGACGTCACGCTCACCCAGCATGTGCTGGTGGACAAACGTGAGCGCTTGGAGGAGAGCGGCGAAGGTGCGGGCTGGGTCCGACGAGGTGGACGATGACACGGAGGAGGTGGTGGATGAGGAGACGAGGCTCAGGGTGCCGTCGGTCGCGCTCACGGCCAGACCCGGGAAGACGACGAGGGGACGCAGAACGAAAGAGTGTAGAGCCTCCACTGCACACGGAGGCAATTTTAACCGTTCACAACCACCATTGGAACCTCCTTTGCCAGTAAGAAAATATGATGATTGGTTTTTAATCCTTTTATCTGGCAACAAAACTGACACTTTTTTTTTACGAGGAGTCATGTTTGCATTGACCACAATACCTGCGGTCGGAATGCAAACAAAAAACACAACTCTGATAATGTATGTGCACTGTTCTTGAAGTTGATTGGTCCACACCCGAGACAGCTTTCCTTAGAGCCTAGTCTCCATTGGTGTTGGACCAGATGACGCCAAAAGGCGCACAACTCAGAGACAATGCACCATCAGAGTATGAGAGCTCGGGGTCAAGCATTTACACCATTGGAACCTCCTTTGCCAGTAGCAAAATGAAATTTTTTTTTTTACCCTTTTATCTGGCAACAAAACTGACGCAATTTTTTACAAGGAGTCGTGTTTGCATCGACCTTCACCACGCGCCGCCAACGCACCGAATCGTCTCAGCTTTTTGTGCAGGAGCCCCAGCGCGGCGTAGGCGGCGAGGATAGCGGCCAGCGACGATGGCGGCGACGACGACGTGGCGGCGGTGGTGGTGGAGACGACGAAGGGGGACGAGGAGGAGGAGGAGGGTGGTGGCTCTCTACCCTTGGACTCGTCACGGGTGATGCCCGGCGGTCCCAGCAGGCGAAGCTGCGTGTGCAGACACTGCTCCACGCTGGGCTGCTCTGCAGGGGCAGAGGAGGGGGGACCCAAAGGGGATGGGGGGGTGGGGTAAGAGACGACGCGGGGGCGGAAGGGGGAGACGCTCGCTCGCTCTCTGACTTACTCTCTCACCCGTTCACACTCGCTCACCCGCGCTCACACTCGCTCACCCACCTACACTCGCGCACACTCGCTCACCTACACTCGCTCACCCACCCACACTCACACACCCGCCCACACTCGCTCACCCGCCCACACTCACTCACCCGCCGACACTCGCTCACCCATCCACACTCATCCCACAAGTCCACCACCCTCACCTACCCACAAATCCACCCTAACCTACCCACAAACCCTCCCTCACCTACCCACAAACCCACCCTCAGCTACCCACAAACCCACCCTCAGCTACCCACAAACCCACCCTCACCTACCCACAAACCCACCCTCAGCTACCCACAAACCCACCCTCAGCTACCCACAAACCCACCCTCACCTACCCACAAACCCACCCTCACCTACCCACAACCCCCAACCACCTCACCTACCCACAAACCCACCCTCAGCTACCCACAAACCCACCCTCAGCTACCCACAAACCCACCCTCACCTACCCACAAACCCACCCTCACCTACCCACAAACCACCCTCACCTACCCACAAACCCACCCTCAGCTACCCACAAACCCACCCCTCAGCTACCCACCAACCCACCCTCACCTACCCACAAACCCTCCCTCACCTACCCACAAACCCACCCTCACCTACCCACAAACCCACCCTCACCTACCCTCACTACCCACAAACCCTCCCTCACCTACCCACAAACCCACCCTCACCTACCCACAAACCCACCCTCACCTACCCACAAACCCACCCTCACCTACCCTCACCTACCCACAAACCCACCCTCACCTACCCACAAACCCAACCCTCACCTACCCACAAACCCACCCTCACCTACCCACAAACCCACCCTCAGCTACCCACAAACCCACCCTCAGCTACCCACAAACCCACCCCTCACCTACCCACAAACCCTCCCTCACCTACCCACAAACCCACCCTCACCTACCCACAAACCCACCCTCACCTACCCTCACCTACCCACAAACCCTCCCTCACCTACCCACAAACCCACCTCACCTACCCACAAACCCACCCTCACCTACCCACAAACCCCCCCTCACCTACCCTCACCTACCCACAAACCCACCCTCACCTACCCACAAACCCACCCTCACCTACCCACAAACCCACCCTCACCTACCCACAAACCCACCCTCACCTACCCACAAACCCACCCTCACCTACCCACAAACCCACCCTCACCTACCCACAAACCCACCCTTACCTACCCACAAACCCACCCTCACTACCCACAAACCCTCCCTCACCTACCCACAAACCCTCCCTCACCTACCCACAAACCCACCCTCACCTACCCACAAACCCACCCTCCACCTACCCACAAACCCACCCTCACCTACCCACAAACCCACCCTCACCCACCCACCCCTACCCCACCCTCACCCACCCCACCGACACACGCACCCTTGCCGGTAGGCACGGCCCACACCACGCGCTGCCTCCACTCGTCGTTGAGGTGGTTGATGAGGTTCTCTCGCTGCGTCACCAGCTCAGACTGCACGGCCTCCAGCAGCCGCACGTCCCTGCCAAGATCCTCCTGCAGACGCAGCGTGGCACGCTGGCCCTGAGAGACACGGGGGAACGCACGGACAGAGACGCGGGGATGCATGGGGAACGCAGGGACAGAGACACGGGGACGCGCGGAGAGACACAGGAACGCACGGAGAGAGACACGGGGACGCACGGGGACAAGGTGACACATTGAGACACAGGGTGACATACGGATCATCCAGCACACGCAGCACGGCGTGCTGGCCCTTAGACACGGGGACGCACGGAGGCAGAGACAGACACACACAGGGAGACAGAGACACACATGCACACGGGGAGACAAACACACACACACACGGGGAGACAAACACACACACACGGGGAGACAGAGACACACACACACACGGGGAGACAGAGACACACACACACACACACACGGGGAGACAGAGACACACACACACACGGGGAGACAGAGACACACACACACGGGGAGACACACACACACACACACGGGGAGGACAGAGACACACACACACACACACACGGGGAGATAGAGACACACACACACACGGGGAGAGACAGAGAACACACACACACACGGGAGACAGAGACACACACACACGGGGAGACAGAGACACACACACACGGGGAGACAGAGACACCACACACAGGAAGACAGAGACACACACACACAGGGAGACAGAGACACACACACACACGGGGAGACAGAGACACACACACACACGGGGAGACAGACACACACAGGGAGACAGAGACGCACACACACGGGGAGACAGAGACACTGAGACACACACGGGGAGACAGAGACACACACACACACAAGGGGAGATAGAGACACACACACGGGGAGGACACACAGAAACAGAGACACACACACGGGGGAGATAGACACACACACAAGGGGAGACAGACACACACACGGGGAGACAAACACACACACACGGGGAGACAGAGACACACACACACAAGGGGAGACAGACACACACACACACACGGCGAGACAGACACACACACATGGGGAGACAGAGACACACACACACACGGGGAGACAAACACACACACAAACAGAGACACACAGGAAGAAGGAATAGAGATGCATCCAAGTCCGAGGGCTCAAACCGAGACACACGGCTCAGTGTCTACGACACGGCGATTGTGAACCGCCTGTGCTTACATTGAGGAGTCTTCTTGCAGACAGCAGATATTTATGAGCGCCCAACGCCTCTCTCGAGCCCTCCAGGCACTGGTAAACCTGGGACACGCACACGCACAGGGACAACACAACGCAAGACAACCTTAAACAAGCCCCGATAAGGCCTGAACGTCGCACCGGGATGATTTTGTTGCTACGACAGAAATCGTGCTTTTATAATTTGGCATCTACATCTGCAGAAGGTAAAGAACTGGTGGCATCTACATCTGTAGAATGTGAAGAACCAGTGGCATCTACATCTACAGAACGTGAAGAACTGGTGGCATCTACATCTACAGAACGTGAAGAACCAGTGGCATCTACATCTACAGAACGTGAAGAACTGGTGGCATCTACATCTGTAGAATGTGAAGAACCAGTGGCATCTACGTCTGCAGAACGTGAAGAAGCAGTGGCATCTACATCTGCAGAAAGTGAAGAACCAGTGGCATCTACATCCGCAGAACGTGAAGAACCAGTGGCATCTACATCTGCAGAACGTGAAGAACCAGTGGCATCTACATCTGCAGAACGTGAAGAACCAGTGGCATCTACATCTGCAGAACGTGAAGAACCAGTGGCATCTACATCTGCAGAACGTGAAGAACCAGTGGCATCTGCATCCGCAGAACGTGAAGAACTAGTGGCATCTACATCTGCAGAACGTGAAGAACCGGTGGCATCTACATCTGCAGAACGTGAAGAACTAGTGGCATTTACATCTGCAGAACGTGAAGAACCAGTGGCATCTGCATCCGCAGAACGTGAAGAACCAGTGGCATCGACATCTGCAGAAAGTGAAGAACCAGTGGCATCTACATCTGCAGAACGTGAAGAACCAGTGGCATCTACATCTGTAGAACGTGAAGAACCAGTGGCATCTACATCTGTAGAACGTGAAGAACCAGTGGCATCTACATCTGTAGAACGCGAAGAACCAGTGGCATCTACATCTACAGAACGTGAAGAACCAGTGGCATCTACATCTGTAGAACGTGAAGAACCAGTGGCATCTACATCTGCAGAACGTGAAGAACCAGTGGCATTTACATCTGCAGAACGTGAAGAACTAGTGGCATCTACATCTGCAGAACGTGAAGAACCAGTGGCATCTACATCTACAGAACGTGAAGAACCAGTGGCATCTACATTTGCAGAACGTGAAGAACCAGTGGCATCTACATCTGTAGAACGTGAAGAACCAGTGGCATCTACATCTACAGAACGTGAAGAACCAGTGGCATCTACATCTGCAGAACGTGAAGAACCAGTGGCATCTGCATCTGTAGAAAGTGAAGAACTGGTGGCATCTACATCTACAGAACGTGAAGAACTAGTGGCATCTACATGTACAGAACGTGAAGAACTGGTGGCATCTACAGAATGCGAAGAACCAGTGGCATCTACATATACAGAATGCGAAGAACCAGTGGCATCTACATCTGCAGAACGTGAAGAACCAGTGGCATCTACATCTGTAGAATGTGAAGAACCAGTGGCATCTACATCCCAACATGAAGAACCAGTGGCATCTACATCCCAACATGAAGAACCAGTGGCATCTACATCTGCAGAATGTGAAGAACCAGTGGCATCTACATCTGCAGAACGTGAAGAACCAGTGGCATCTACATCTACAGAACGTGAAGAACCAGTGGCATCTACATCTGTAGAACGGATTAATCGTATTTACATACAATCCAATGGAGAAATTAGGTTCGAGTCACGACCAAATCGGGTTGCGTCCAAAGTTATGGAACAAATTATGGTCGTGACCAGAGGTTCTACTGTCTAAGGGAGATGCGCGGGAGACTCGGGGCTGTTGCAGTGTGGGTCTCCGCCTGTCCGAGTGTGAGCGCGTGGCTCCTCAACAAAAGAAGCCATCTCAAGGCAAGTGCTTCCAAATTTCGATTTAAAGCTTTCGTGACTGCAGGGATTCATCTTCTTGGTTCTTTCGGTAAAGTCACCACGTAGAATGGAAATAATAAAATAATAAAAATAAAACATAATAAAATTATTCTCACGACGTTTAGGCCACAACGCAAGCAGCCGTCCTCAGGTGAAGAACAGGTCTGTCGAGAAGACAGACTCTGTCTTCTCGACAGACTTGTCGAGAAGAACAGGTCTGTCTTTCTTACAGACCTGTTATTTTATTATGTTTTATTTTTATTATTTTATTATTTCCATTCTACGTGACTTTACCGAAAGAACCAAGAAGAAGTGCTTCCAAGCCGTCATTACACCTGCACGAGCCGGATCGGCGATCCCGTCGCAGTCCGCTTTCGTCGTACCACCGGCGCCCGGCTGCGCCGCGACCGTTACCTTGTGCAGCTGCTTGAGCGTGCACAGCACCGCGTTGGTGCTCTCCAGCTGCTCGCGAAGGCTCGAGAACTCCGTGATGGCGTTGTGAGCCTCCCTACGCACCTGGCCACGCGCGCGGAGAGACGGCGAGACACAACAACCGCCGCCGTTCGCCGCTAAGTGGCGGTGACGTCAACGCGGCGAGGTGCACTTGGAGGCCGCGCGAAGTGTCGAAGGCTCGCTGCTGGCAGGAGGTCACGGGGGACAGACCCAGGTGCCATGGGTTGACTGAATGAGATGACGACTGGCAGATGCACCGGCCGCAAGCACACACAAAACAAAGATCCCCCATATATTCGAGATTTGAAGCTTTCGTGACTGCAAGAATTCATACTCTTAGGTTTTTTCGGTAAAGTCACGTGACTTTACTGAAAAAAACCTAAGAGTATGAATCCCCCATATAGCCTGTAACAGACTGTAGGGGCAAGTGCTGTTCGCGAGTAGCGGCACCTACGAAGGACGGCACGGCACACGAGGGGGTGGGTGGCCAGCACCATGCCCGGCCGCCTTTGTCTCCCCAGTGGCGATGTTTACACACACTGCACCTGGTACTCAACATCCACACATATATCCGCCACCGCCACCACCACCACCATGCCCCGCTTTCAACACGACACCGACGTTACAGACTGCACCACAACTGGAATACTCTCCAAAAAACGAAAATCCCCCGTGAAGCCTTAACAGCCTGTTGGGTCAAGTGCTGTTAGT